TTTCTCTGACAAGTGCACACTCCCTCTAGCAGAAAGGAGGAGAAAACAAAAGAGAAGCTAGAACTTGAAATTGGGTTTTAAGTTTAGAATTCATGCATGATTTATTTTTCCATGACAGATACACACACACACACACACACACACACACACACACTAAAGAAGCTGCCATCCAGCCTAGTCTTACCTGATACTATTTAGGACACAGTTGAGCTGTGTCTCGGATAGATATAGAAAAGGAGGCTTTGTATATCCGTTCACTCTGATCGAGTCCCCGTTTACTCTGATCGAGTCCTTCCCAGGAATATGTACACACAGCAGGACTTGGCTCCTGGCCACATCTGAGGAGAACTTTGAGCAGAGAATTGGGTGATTCAGCAGGGGGAGGGTATGCTCTGGTAGAACTGGGCAAAAACTATCACAGGCCTCCATGGAGAGGCACTCAGAAAAACATACTATAATAAGTCACCTACAGTTCTTGTGAGATGACTTGGGGTGTGAAAGAACAAAGTCAAATGGAGCACTGTCATTACTTTTCAGTGGTTCACCTGCCTTTTTTTTTGCTCTGTTCTGCCAAATTTTCATTTATCTGACCATTGAGAGACTGTGTGGTCTAACTGAGAGAAGTCTGTGCTTGGAGGTAGAGTGATCTGGGTTTGAGTCTCAGGTCTGCCAATTAACAAAGATCTGTATGATCTATGACTACTTCCTTGTTCTATGCCTCATTTTCCTCATTTTGTACAATGGAAATGACAATATCAGCAGCTACCACCCAGAATTTTTTGTTTGCTTATCTATTTGTTTAATAACATTAATAAAATAATTCATAGAAGGCACATCTCACACTGCTGGGCATAATGGATGTTGGATGTTTTTATTAACTTGGAATTCTAAGAGAATTTGATATACTAGGAAGGTCTTTGGAATCTTAAGGTTTTGAGTGTAAATCTTGGCTCAGTCACTTACAAAAAGGCAAACTTGGTCTTCCCTTCTGTAAAATGAAGAGGAGTTTATTTATTTATAAAATAAAATACATTTATTTATATTTTTTCCATGGGTTAATTGAAAGTGTTATGTGACATGAAGTCTGTGAAGCATCTGACCCAAGGTATTTAGACACTGGGTTAATATTAATATTGCATTGGATAAGCCAAGGTTGTCAAAGGTAGTAGGCTTGCACTACTTAAATTTTACAGGGGTCATTTTGGGAGGAAAGGGGAGCTCCAATATTCTGTCCCATCTTTCCCAGTTGTTCTCAATATCTATTGAATCTAGGAGAAAAATACCTCTGCTCCAAGTTACCATTACTATTGCCCTGGCTGTAGTAGTCCCACAGGAATGGAAGTTCTGGGAAAAGCTTTTGCTAGCAATGTTATACATCCTTGTGGTGAGAATTGTGATAGGTCTAAGGTGTCTGGATTACCAGCTACTTGTCACAACCCCAGAGGGGGAAATTATGTGAGTAGTTGTACACTCCTCTTCATGGTGTGGAGATGTCCAGAACTCACAATAACCCAGGGCCATCTGTTTAATTACTGACACTTCCCAGGCCTCCGCTAAGCCTGTCTCTCTCCTTTTGAAATGGTAAAAGCAAGCTGAGACCTTGAGGAGCCAGACATTCTGCTTATCTAACTCTTTCTTTTTTAGAGTAAGCTTTGAACTTCTTCTTCCTGATAGGATACCTTTATCCTCCTGGAGCTCCCCCTTTTCCCAAATTCCCCAATGATAAAAGACTGTGCTTAAGACCCACAGGGGGCCAGAGATTCAGAATGTTAACTCCTCTGCACCCACTAACATAATAATAAAGAGTTCTTATTTCTCTGGAGTGCTGCTTTTTGGTCCTTGGCTGTCTGTCCCCCCCCACCCCCCCCCCAACACTCTCATAGGAATGTAAACTCCTTAAGGGCATAACTTTGTCTAACATTTTAAAATCTATAGCCACACCTGGAATATGCTCATTAAATACCTTTTTAAAATATTTATTTCATTTTATTTATTAATATTAGTATTTTAAAATTTGCTATAGACATGTATGCTCACCAGAGAGGGA